TGAAGCTGCAATATGGAACACAATAGAGAAGCAAAAAAGTGGTTTGTTTTTTAAATCTCTTTCAGTTGCTATGTCATTACTTAATATTCAACAACCAGATCTAACTTCAACTCCCCCCCCAAGCATATATATTCAAATAACTTTTTTTTTATAGTATCTTTGTTCAGAAACTCATGATAAGGCTTGTACTCAGCTTCAAAGGATTGAGTTGCTCATAAAATGCTTACACACTGCACTGACTTTCTGTGCTCCATGTTGAGCTTGGATTCAACTGAGCTAAAACTGATCTCTACTATTATAAAAACAGAAGAATAATTTTAGGATTAGTAACTGGAAAGGGGATTAAGAAAGCTCATTCCTCAACCAGGCAGTGCTAATTCCCTTTCTCTCTCTCTACAACTCTGCTTTCCTATATGAATAACATCTACATACCTCATAGGAAAATAGTATTAGTAAAACACATTACCAACCATGGAAAAAATATATATTGAACTATGTAGCAATTATAGCCAATTATAGCTGTTCTATCTGGTCTAAATACTAATAGTGAAAAAAATTCTTAAACCATATTTTCCACTTTAATTCTGCATTACTTTTTGTCAGAATGTCAACCTGCCACATTTACAAAAAAGTTTGAAGCTATAGGTCATAACTTATTCAATAAGTTGAATAAGGCACATTTCTTATCTCAAACATGTGTAATCTGCTGTGTATACTGTTCTACATGCCTAAATAGAACCAGTCATAAACAAAAGATTTTTGAACATTCATAGTTTTGTGAACAACAAAATACCAAAGGAATCAGATATATGTTTCCTCCTCCAAACTATATAGCCATCTATATTTTAAAATAAGAGGTCAAGTGAATTTGACTTATGAGGGTATTTCATATCAGTGTATATAAAGAGATGCACACTATGATGTATAAAAATTCTATGTATTTTATATATACCTATTTAGGTCTGTATATATAGTATATATTTACATAAATTGTATTTATGCTTAGATGACTTAGTCCTAAAACATTTTAACATCTTCACTACCCAAAACAAAAGTCAAATTCATTCACAAGAGAAAAGAAAAAAAATGGAAACTGTTTCAAACTTTTTATCATGATGACCCATTTTCACAGAATGCAAAACAATGAAGTTGGATATCAAAACACAAAGAAATGAACCCAGTTTTACATTTTGGTTTTTTCATTCTTTACATTGAATATTATACCAGAGCCTCCACCTTTGAAATAAACTGGTTACTATGGGGACAGTGATACTTGTCATATATAATGCTCACATTGTAAGCAGGCTACCTCATGTTTTACAACTTATTCCTTAATTTTATTTTTATTCCACAATTCAACATTTTAATTATAATTTAAAAAAATAATGCTAGAAAAAACTCACATATACAACAGGAGACTCAAAATTATCATGCATTATGAAATAAATACACATTATAATTTATTAAATAGTAATCTTTTATTGGTTGGTTGGTCACTATCCAGGGCTGTATCTATTTTGGTGGGAAATTGAAAATCTAATTACTTTTCTACAGACATAAATAAAAATTAGAACATCCTACATGTTCATCAGTAAATGCAGCGAAGTAAAGGAAGGCATGAAATGAAGACAAAATGTATGCCAGCATTTTTCCTTTCCTGCCTTATAAAGGGACAGGGTGAGGGAAACTGTCTCATAAGCAGCGACCAATCTTGCTTTCTTCACTACTCACTCATCTCATTCCAATACCCAGTTTTAAACCTGGTTATGATCTAATTCTGTACTCCTGGTAGGCTAGGATTCAATTGAGTTAAAGATTTTTAAACTCACTGCCAGTCAACCTTATCATGAACTTTCATTATGTGCATGTAATTAATTGGGTCCAATGAACAATATCAGTACTGAGTTATAGACTTTTTCCCCCCCACCATATAATTAGAATATAATTACCCACAGGATATCAGAATGATGCAAAACCTTTCCTCTAAATGTGCCCTCATTAGGAAACAAGTCTCAATGTACATTTATTCAATCAGTATGAATTAATTAAAATGTTACTGAAATAAAAGAGAGTAACATTAAAGTGTATCTGACATCTATTAAAAGACTATCACTTGAGATCTGCACACCGTTTATAACAAAACTCATTTAACTTGAATAAAAAACTTCACCATACAACAAGCCTTATATACAGTAAACAGAAAAGTAAAAAAGACTAAAGTTGACAGACTACATTTTATTAAAACATTTAAAATTGATGCAGTGAGATACGAAAAATCTTTACAAAACACTGAATCTAAATAGATGTGATGTTTTCATGACGTGCACAGTACCGGCTACATGAGTTTCCCCATCTTTTTTTTTTCAGCTGACAATGTAGCTTATCATATTTAAGAACAACATTTGAAAAGCTCTTTTTTTGTGCAGTTTTTAAGATGGGAGGACCTTTATTTAACTTAGACCAGCCAGCGAACTTTCACATGACAAGGCATTTTGGTTCTCTCTCCAGCCACTAAGAGTCACTCAGCTGAGATAATTTTGGCAGCACTGGTATAATATATGGTGCTGTGAAATGCAATATGTGAAAAAGTCCTTTAACTGTGTAGAGATTGTTGAGGCTGGACTTCACAAGAACTGAAGAAATGAGACATGAGAAATGTTGGATGAAAAAGAAAAAAATATGAATGCCCCTAGCTCTGCAAAGAGAAAAGATGAGAAGGGATTAGCCTGTACGCTTGAAGAAAAACTTAGGAGAAGGCATCTTGTTCTGAGACTAATTCTGCAGTTTTCTGAAAGAAATCTTCCCAAGTTACAGGTGGAAAGGAAGGCCAACATTTTTAGGAGACCAAAGATGCAAGATTTTTAATCTTGCTATTTTCCTTGTATTTTATGGGAGAAGAAAATACATTCTTCTCTGACACCTCAAAATACTCAAGGATACGCCTGGAACAGCAAGCATTATGGTCATCTGCTTTTATTTACCTTCCACATATACACAGCATTGCAAAAATATTAATGCTCAGCTGATCACTGAAGTTAAATGTATGACCTGGGGAAAGAACCCTTCCACTGTCAGATCTGTATGTCTGAACACATAATTTTTATTAACAGACACACTTGCACAGTTAGATGGATTTCACATGAATATATTCACTGGTTTTGCTGTCCTTATTGAGAATGCTGGTCTCACATGCACTGAAGTATTATGTTTCTCAAAAGGAATCCCCATAACAGGAAATGGGAGACACTAATTAAAAAATTACTAACACAAATCATATGTACACTACAACCAATCAATTTCAGAATTACTATTAGCTAGGTCAGTGAGGCAGTATTTGGAACATAACTAAACTCAGGATTTTAATGCATTTTTGGAAGAAACTACTAAATGAAAAAATATACTACAAAATTATAAAGTCCTCATTAAATAACAGTAAAATATATTTTCCATTCCAAACAATATAAATTGTGCTGAAATACATGTCTTGTGTTGCATTGTTACTAACAGGATTCCAAAACAGGAAAACATATTTACTTCTGTTTATGCCTTGAAAATTTGGAGATAAAACAAACCTATTCAAGGGTGATTTGACTCTAGAGTGGTTCTACATATCCTCTAAACAACTTAACTAAACTCCAATTGTGGAATAAAAATCTTAATTCCTCTATTCCTCTTCCTCTCCTGAAAAGAAAATGTAGTTATGCCAATATAACTGAAGATAAAATTTCATGCTGAAGATTCATTCTGTTAATACCAAGGGCAAATGATAAATAACATTAATTTTAAAACAACAGCCCAATAACAGAATGATAATTTCCAGACGCAAACTTTTAAAGTATGACCTCAAATCCTGAAAATTAAATAAGGTAATACAGAATATAATAATTCAACAAACTTAAAATAATATTTTTAACTATGAATCAGAACTTGTCCAGATAATACCAAAATACCATAGAGACAAACTAAAAAGCCACTTTTGTGACTTGAAAAATATTTAAAATATTTCATAAATATTAAAGGCAGGTTTCCATTGTATTGTTTCATTGAGAGCAATGGAATAATCTCAATTTACACAGGTAGAGGGCCAAAGTCTAACATCTGTACCTTGACAGGTTTATAAACAGCCAAAAGGATTGATTAGAAAACAAGTAATTTACAATAGACACAAATATTATTCCTAATGATCAGCAACTGGTTTAAGATTAGGATGCACATTTTCTTTTTTGCCTCCCCTCAATAAATTACACCCTCTTAAGTTCAAGCATTTTTTACACTTATGAAATACATTTAAAGAGGACCATTCATCTGTTCTCTTATGAAAATGATGATGCTATGACTTTCATCAGCATAAAATATCCAATTTAATATGTGAAAACATAAGTTAATTCTCAAGCTCTTTTTTAATGATAAAATGGTCAGCTCTTTTCTATACAACCCACACATAGCATGCATTTTTATTTTCATTGAATTGAGTTATTGTTTTTGTGGACAGAGAAATTTACTGTCCACGACTGCAGAATAAAATATACTATAATGTTGATGCATAGCTTACTGCAAGACCAGTGTCATCATTCTAGGTAACCTCCGGCTTAGATCAGAGACCTCAGCATTGCAGATATACAATATGCATCCCAAGCAAAAACTGCCCATAAGAATAACTTCATTATTCTGGGAAGTTGGATCTATAAAAGATGTAAAATGTAGAAGTGTTCTGCCTATACAGTTTCTGGTAAGTACAGTCTGAATAAGTGATAAAACCTGAGTCAGCTTCAGTTATAATATGCCCTACAGAAGGTTCATTCTCACATGAAGGAAAATGCAGTATATGTAGAGGGTAAAACACACTTATGCCTATAAACCCATCAGCCAGGACTTCACATTGTGTTTAAGGTTCACACAGTCCTGTGAATTTAACAAATATCTGGCAGCCAGTCCCAGCAGCATTTTAATGTTGCATCTGAGAGAGGATTACATCTGAAATTAACATACAAACAACTCACCAACACTACTGGGCAGATTGATGTGGGTGGCAAAATATGGTCCTTCAAGGGTCCACAGTCACATTCAGGTTTCAGATGTGAAGCACACTTGTTATGCAACTATATGAAGACAGAAAATGAAGATTCAACTTAGACATTTTTCTATTACAGCGTTAAGAAAATGGGTCTCCTAGAATGGGGTGAGTTTCATTAACCTAATTATTACTGAAGCTCTGGAAGCATACTGCATAAAGCATACTGCAGCAGAAAGCTCCCTAGGATGGACAAAACTAACATGTTTGTATTGAAGTGAAGAATGATGGATTTAAGTATTTTTCAGTTTGGAAATTGTATGTGTGGATCAGCACACAAAAAGAACACTGCACAGCAATACATTAACAGCATCATACTGTTACTGGTGACCAAAAGCTTAATTTCAGGAGAGAACTTCTTGCACTGAGTCAGGAACTTCTGTTCTACTACTAGTGAGTAATTCAAGGCAGCTTTTGGCAGTATTGGCGTAACTCTGCTTCTTTCCTGAAGCTGATAGCCACTAGGGATTCAAATATAAGAGAAGAACACAGGAATATCCTACGTTAAGCTTCATTGGGTAAATTTTGGTCTTGATTGTATCAGTTTTCAGACTTTCATGGACTGCTGAGGAACTGGAACTACTCTCATTTTTCTAATTTATGCTTAGAATTCATCCAGTTTTCTTGAAAGCAATGACAATAGTTCTACTCTGAAAACTTCAAAAGTATATCTTCAGGTCTGCTGACAGGAAAAGCATTGGCTGACTTCCATTTTGCTACAGAGATTGAATGGCAAATGTGCATATAAACAGGAACATAGGAGGGTAACAAGTATATATGATATATTATGAAATATTTTGCATTAGCAATCAGGAGTTCCTGTTCATAATTTAAAATTTAACTCAATTCAAATTACTCTAAATATTCAGCCACACAGTACAAAGGCACATGTGTGCACTTGGATTCACATTTAACTGGTATACTTCATCATATCATTAGAGATAGAATAAAATAAAATTAATATTGTAAAATTTTGTGAAAGTTTACTTTTTCTGGACTTGATGATTGTAAAGGTCTTTTCCAACCTAAATTATTCTGCATTTTTATCTCTGTATAGATTCAATAAAATGCATTAAGGTGTTCAGATAGCATCCATCTTCCTTAGAGATGGACATTTTGAAAGGATGTGTATATTTACAGTAAAGAAAAATAATCAGGCTAATAAATATCAGGAGTTGTGAGGCAAAAAATCTTATTAACAAGTGATTTATCTAGTATAACAGGTAGAATACAGTGTTAGTTCAACATGTTCAAAAGCTGTTACAAAACCTGCAGTTCAATACCTGCATCTGTAAATCACATTTTTTCAGTGACTGACTCATTTTCCCTTAACTTATATGGTTTAACTCATATGAACTCTATCAAAATTACAACAATATTGTACCAATTGCTGATATATATAAACTTTATTGGTAATATCGTCTTCATAAAATTATCTGGTACAGTTAATTTTGACATGACATTTCTGAATTTTGAACTGAATGGCACCTAATATTAGCCTTGTCCATAATAATTTATACTGCAAAGTTACCTTTTTAGGCAGTTACTTAGCAACAGAAAATAAAAGTCCAAAGAGTTTTGATTTACTCTGAGTATTAAAGCCTTATTGTGAGGGTATTTTGGTAGCCCTGTAATCTAAATCATTTGTCATGCTAATTCTCTGCCTCGGTGGTAAGGCTACTTGTACCATAATTAATGCACACCAGGCCATGTTACATCAAATAAAAGTATCTTCACACATTCAGTGGTAATTAGCAGCTTTGCTACTCAGTGGCATGCAAACTTATCTATGAAAAAATAGCTTAATCTTCTTATTAGTCTCTGCTGATCTCTGACAACAGAATTGGCACATAGCAAATAACAAAAGGTAGAAGAAATGTAGCTTCAATGAAAATAACACTTTGACACAAAGAAATAAAATAATATGCATGCCTCCCAAAAAACCTATTTTTAGTAGGTTTTAAATACACTTTCCCAAAACTCTCTTATCCTAAACCTGTCTCTTGTGGTATATTACCTCCCTCACAAAACTGCAAAGCAGGAAAAAGTGTATTTTCTGGAGAGAAGATGAGGGGAAAGAAATTTACACTACCATGGTGGAGAACTACAAATTAAATAGGAGGGGGATCATGGATTTGGCTGAGAAATCAGTACAACAAGCCTCCTTAGTGAAAAGCACCTCTAAATTTTGGGACTTGAGTCAGTTATTTGACATCACAAGTGACCTTACTAAGTTGTTAGGATAGATATATTTAAAAGGCATGAAAGAGGCTCAGAATTAGCTCCTTAATAAAGAGCATCCCCTTCGAATATAAGCTGTAAATGTGCAGTACAAGGAGTTGAAAATCACATGAAGGATGTGATCATAATTACATAACCTCAGAATATCCATTTGCTAATCATGCATCTTTTAGAAATTCAAAACAATTTTTCTGTAATAAAGGTATTACTATTAGAAAATGAAGTTATTGCAATAGAATATATCGAATGAAGAGAATTGCAAGTGAATAGGAGTTTTAAATATAATTTGCAGTATTTAAAAATACTGATTCTTTACTTGTGGCTAATTCACATCTAAATCTATAAAAATAAATGAACATATTAAATTTATTTGAAAATTCAAAATTGCTTTTAAAAAAGCCTTTAAATTACTGATGGAAATAAACTGAAAAATTGTAAACCTTAGTGCCAACATTTTCAATTTCAGCGGTCAAAAAACACACCCATTTTTATTTGTAACCTTGACAGTTATTTAAGCATTTAAATAAGCACCCAAGACATTTTCAAAAGAATCCAGCATTATTTTAGAATGATTTCAATCATAAATAATTTCTCAGTACTTCCTCAGTGAGTAACAGTTCTTACGAAAATCCTCTGAATCTTGATGTACAACTTTGTGGAATAAAAGACCTTTACAAATCTGGTCCAGATCCACATGAATTGATGGGAAAATAATTTCTACTGAGGAAAGACAGAATTTGCAACTTCCTTTGACTTTAGAAGTCAACATACGTTACATAATATGCATTTCTTGACCGATATACACATATTATACAGGTGTAAATACTTATATATCTACAGCAGAAAACCGTTATTTTTCTTGCTAAACACATATAGCCATTGCCTAAGTATAATTATCTACATGCAAAACATGTTGGATTGGGTGTTTTACTCTTTACATAAATTATCCAAATTTTGACAGCAATCTGGACTACATCTTTGCTTTCTTCTAAAATATTGTTTTTGAAGTAATCATAACAGCTTATCACTGAAAGCATCCTGGATCTATTTTCTTTGAGGATGTTTCATATTTTGTATTCTTGTGTTAAGAAAATATGTCATAAAACATCCAAACTTTTATGTTTAAAACAAACATTCACTAATGCCTCAGTCTTATATTATTATTTAAAGCACTGAACAAACAACTGCTGTTCCGTAACAACAATAATAATGATATCAGCAAAACCAGCAAATACACGCGAAGAAGGCTGAAATCTCTCCACATTTAGATTTAAATCCTGCCCTGGCTAGAAACAGAAATACTGGCATTGCTCCTTCTAGCATGAAGATCTCACTTATAAGGGCAGTGTTCCCTGAATGTCATTAGTTCCAGTTGCTGGTTCCTGCTGAATAAGGAGTGCACAAAAGTTGTATATATTTGACTTGGTGCACAGATTAGTATATTATCAACTTGTCTCCGCTATTATTCCCAGACACTTGGAATCACTGTATCCTACCAGATGTCCTCAAATTCATTTGCCTGTCAGTACATCACCAATTAGACCTAGTGTCACAGTGACCTTGATTTTTCCTGGTACTGAAAACTTAATCTTTCTGCAGTGTGGACTGGGAATTCTGCTCTTTAGTGGCACACGTTATTTTCTTATGGCTATTGTCATGAAGCAAATTTGCTTCATGACATATTGAAATAAGCATTTCATGAAATGAAATAAGCATGTTTACTTGCCACAATTAAGAAGTCCTAGGAACACTCTGCATATACCATTCCTTAAACACACACATTGCTGATGACTAAACTGAATGATACATTCCAGATTATGAGGCTAGAGAAAGACATTCAATGATTTTTATCTCTAAAACCTGTGTGAAAGGTTTTACTGTAGTATACTCACTGTAATCTGACACCAAACACAGTGAAGTCCAGTCAAGCCTTGGTAACACTTTATAGTTTTGTGACACTTATCACATTTTGTTGGACAGTTTCCTTCTACCCAAAAATGGTGCATTACCTGTAAAAGAAAAATGAGGATATACACAGAGTTACTAGATTAACAGGTAGATGGCAAAGCTAATACTACCCCAAACTTACATCAGTATTCTTTTTAGACTTCACATATGTTTTGATGCAAGATGCAGGAGCTCTAGAGACACAGCGTTCATGGACTGTATACTTGCAAACTGAAAAAAAGAAAGACATTATTAGATGTTGAGGCAATGGTATTTCTCACTACATTTCTATGAAACAAATAGCATTACACCAGCATGTCATCTCTAAGTAATCAATCCAATCAGTCAATGAAAACTCAAACTAGGCTGCTTTTTTCCATGGAATACAAAAGGCCAATTAGAACAGGAAATATTATGCAAGTGAGAAATCCAAGAATGCACTATCATTGCATAACAGGAAATGCTTAATTAAATCAGACCTTACTAAATTTTTTCACAATAATTCCCAAATGACAAAAATATTAAAGACAAATTGGTAGCTGCCAAGTGGTTTGTGTCGTTTGCTAGTAGGAAGAAACATATATTTTATGAGCTATAGGCATGAGAGCAGCTAGCAAGTACAAAAATAAAAGCCAATGAATTTACGTTGTTCCTACCATTGATTTATAAATCAGAAATGGCTGATTAGTCAATTTTTTAATAGCAATTGTTTTCATGCATTCCATGTAATCACCATAACTTTGACTCCTGTTTTACAAAATACCACCTCCTGAGAAGCCTTTTTCCCCCCTAAGCCCTCCAACACCAGTTTTAGGTAACTCCTATTGCTGACCAGGTCTGTAAAGATCATGCTAGCTGCATTTAGAAAACATACAATGCAGGGTACAATGCAAAGCTCTCCTGACTTCAATGATACAACTGTGCCAAGATGAGGAAATAATGCTACAGCTTATGCCTGAATTCAATAGAGTTAACTATTAAAAACTGAGAATGAATTTCTCCCTGCATGGTATATGTCTCAGGCTTTTGACCTCGAGAGCAATTAAGCACAAAGTACTTCTAAACACCTTGCTTGCACCTATTACACAAACCCAGTGGGAGGCGCAGCCATTAATCAGACAAACTGCAGGGAGTAACATTGTTGATTGGACCATGGAGGGATGGTGAGGACCCCTGTGGTTCCTCCCTTTTTTTTTTTCCTCCCACACAATCTAAAATGCAAATAATGAAATCTATAGCAATACTTTGAAAATATACTGGAGAAAATGCTTAGCTAAATAAGAAAATAGTGGAATAGTTTTGCAAGCAGACTCATGCCTCTTGCTGCATAAAGTAATTGAAAGGAGCATGTTCTTCAGACACTGAGACCACTGTTCTCACAAAACAGATGCCTAGCACAGTTATAAATACATGACAGAAAAATATTACAGGTCTTGCAAGGCTGGTCCTTTTGGGACAGTTAACTTAACTCGTCTGCCCATTTCTAGTAACTACTGATGGTGATCTACATTATTTTCTCAATAGAACTCTCTTTCCAACATATATGGGTCTCAGTTCTTCACAAAATCAGTCTGACAAAAAAGAATTTTAAAGAATGCAACATTTCAAGATCTAATAGTCAGATCAGTATTTTATATAATATTCCAGTTACTATCATCAGCATTTAATAATCTCAAATTGTGCAATATCTATTTGTTTGAATTTTAATAAATGCATCTTTCCCATTTCCCAGTATGGTAAATGAAACTATATGATGTGAAAATGCATACAAGGATTTACATCCAAATTATATTTCAGAGAAGTCTGGGTCCCCAGAGGAGAGAAATGGTCAATTCAAACCCCTCATTCATTAAGACTCATCTCAAATTAAATCAATAGAACTGTACAGGCAGAAAGGTTCTCATCAGCTGTGAGGGTCTATCTTTCATTCCAAAAATGGTGGAAGTCGGTTGCAGTAAGAAACAGATTATTTTACCAAAAAGAAAAATAAAAGGTGACTTGGTACCATCATGAGAAGAATACAGCTGTGTACTAAAGTTCTCATTAATCGAATGGAGCAGGGCATAACATGAACCAATCACTGGAATCATCCACAAGACATATTCAAATCAGAACATAGGGCTTAAAAAAAAGATTAATCATTGGAACACAACACATAAGAAAGATATGGATCTTCCATTTCTGGAAACTCAAATGGAGATCAGGTATCTTTCAGCAAGCCTTGGTTCCTCAAGAGACATGAAGTGGTGAAACACAGATGATTAGGAAATGCATAGATACAGCTCAAGGAACTGAAATGTAGTAATGGCATCTAACAGCCTAATGAAAGTCAAATTAAATGCAGTAGCTTTTCTGTGCTCCTTTTCTTAAAATATATAATCAGTAAATACACAGATTGAGATTTATGACTACAAAACAAGTAACTACACAAAACTTTAGAACTGTTACAGAAACTTGATTTCTGGGAGACTGGGATTTTCACCTTCATAATTAACAAAACAATTTTGTGCAAAATTTGAATCAAAAATATGGGACTTAGACGTTTTCGAGTTGACACTTATTGTGCTGTGCATTAATTAGTAAAAACAAAAGAGGAGTAACAAAAGTATAAATTTAAAACCTAAGGCTGATACTCTCTAAAAAAAATAAAAAAGCAATAGCAGTAAAGAAAAAAAGAGCAACAGACTCCAAAGGTATCTAACAGTGATAACCCTTTGAAAGCAGAAAACGCCCTCAAACAACACATTTTAAAGCCAAATTTCTTGAAAAATTAAGGAAAGAACCATGGGCACTCAAGCAGACAAGAGAAGAGGGAGACACTACTGTGGTGGTAATGGTTTTGTAAAGGGAAGCTATTAGTTCTTTGTTATGCAGCAAGAACAATATTTCTAGGAACAGACATGTAAGCAAAAGGACACTGAAATGCTCATACTCACACGAACAGCAGAGACCTTGCTTGCCTACTCCGATCAGCATGTTCAAACAAAGATTACAGTAGGCAGGCTTGTTGAAGTGTTTCAATCTCCATACATGCTGCCCATCATCTTTCACATTCTGCACAGTATATAAGAGAAACAGATTTTACTTAATAAAATAAACAGTGAAATATGTAAGTGCCAATAAAAAATGGTGATTTACTTAAGAACATAAAAGACAAGCTGTTACTTCATTTAAGACTCGGCACCAGATCATAGCATAATCATTCCAAATACACAGGCATTGATATAATAAAAAAATTCTTCAGAAGCTCATGCACATCCATGCGTTTAAAAAACAACTCAGAAAAAAATCAAAAAAGCTGCTGTCACCACTGCAACACAATTATATTAGTGCAACTAGGCTGATATTAAATTACAACTAGTATTAAATATTTTTTTCCTAGAATAATCCTAAAAATAATGGTGCTGCAGGTCAGAAGATAAAACTCCCCAAAACAAATAACAGAAAGAGTTTTCTAAAACCACACAAATATTCTTAATGACTGTCAGAATTAGTTACGTATATCATGTATGTGAAACAGGAAAACCAACCACACCACAACGACTATTCCCAGCTTTAAATTAAGTTAATCTATACTGCCAATTATCTATCAAAACCCATGTATTTAAGGGTAAGGTTTATGTCTTAGATCTCTTCTCCAAAAATGGAATTCCTACATTTAAGGCCAATTTTTTTCAGTCAGCTGTTGCACTATACTCAAATCTTTCATGAATAAACTGATCAACTCATTGGCACTTACTATTTAGGAGCCCACTGTAATTTATGTGAATCTCCAAAATACTATCAAATTCATTCATTCATTTTATGAAATTATTTTCATAAAATCACCTAACTTTCTGTTGGATGATTCTCCTCTTTCTTCTTAATGGAATCGTTCTGGGGCCTTCCCATTTTTTGAAGGTTCAAAAAATTATGTGCAGTTGGTACAGACGCTAAATTAATTCTCTAAATTCCTGGCTTCTTGGCAATACTGGCCATGAGGCTTTTTTCCTTTCTAAAATCATAGGTTTTGATTCTAAAAAAAACCTAGATGAACCTAATGTAATACCTCTAGATTTTTTGAAAAAACCCTAATTTCTCTTTTACCAGATGTTAACATCCAATGGAACACAGACAGTTAACGTTCATCAGCCGTTTCCTTGTGTATCGCTGAAACTGTATAGTCTTCTTGGTCATGCCACTGCCAAGAAATTGCCATCTAGCTAAAGGAAGTCACACCAATCTCTGTTTCTCAGAAACCACATCAACAGCTGGTTCTTATCCAGCTTCTGGTTTCTCACATCAAACTACTATTACCTGTCATCATGTATACACATGATTCCTGACTAGATTTTCAATAATATGATGGTTTTCACTGATGGGAATAGTCAAAGTATGTTGGTGAGCATAAATAAAAACTGAGTTTTGTCCTATATTAGCATATACTGTATAAGTTATGTCCTTAAGAATCAGGTTTTCTCTGCTCTAGACTTAGAAGTTGATACAAGTAAAATACAATGAAGACTTCATCATCCTTGTTGGCAAAAAAGAAAAATCCCCAAGAAAAATCAGCACTCTACGAAATTAAGAATGTTTGGCCCAAAGCTAGGTCTAAGCCAGAACACAACTTTGAATTTCCTAGAACTTACCTAGAAACAAAAAACCCTGAAGTCCGTTAAAATACATATTTTTTTCTCTAGTATATCAGGATCAAAGTATAAGTAATAACTGCCCCAATATTACCAGCAGTTCAAATGCCATCTCTGACAGCTGGGCAATGTCAGGGTCCCCTTTCTGCAGCAAAAGCACAGCAGATGCCTAATGTGGGATTCTCAGGCTGGCAAAGAGTGTGGAAGTTTTCCAATTTCCCCTGAAGACGCAGAAATAGATTCTGCAGCTGTGAAGCACTAGAAGCCTGTCAAGCTCCTTCATGACTGGCAGCTGAAGAGGATGTATTCCGTTAAACAGAGCTCTCTAACTCCTCTTTTTCTTCCCATCTTACTACCATATTCCACGCATTTTTGAAGTATTGTTAAACTACAATATAGTATGTGAATTTCAAGTCTTCTGAAAGTAGGCAATCATTCATTAGGCAACAAAGACCATGTAAATCCTTCTGAGAAAATAAACAGCAGACAATGTACACCTCAATTTTAACATCACTCAGGTCATCAACACATAAATCATAAACCACAAGCACTTAAAATGCAGGCTGACCAGCCTTCCTTAGCAAAATACTTGCTGTTTAGGAAAATTAACAGAAATTCAAACTTATGCATAAACTTGCCCCTCTTCCACATGAATTTTGTACTACTTTTTCATTTTAATTTTATTTTTAAAGAATGGCCATTATGTGTGAATATGTTGCTTCTTATTTGAACAGAACATATGGTCTAACTTAGCTGGCATTTTCCTTATCAGAAAAACAAACAAGTCTTGATGTGGGTGTTCTGCCAATTAAAACACTTAGCTGTGTTACAGACTGCAACTGATGCAAATCCATTACATAAACACAATGCACTTTTGGAAAAGAGCAAATTAAATTTTTGCTCTTGTGCACTGCCAAAAATAAGCAATAAAGTGCTGCATATGATTATGCATGCACATAACTTTTTAAAACACTGCCAAGAGAAAAAAAAAAGACATAATATGAAACAAAGCCACCTCAATGCAAGTCTTTAAGTATGAATAAAATCCACAATTCTGACACATCAGTGCATTTACTGACATTAACTCATTTCTCTTCCATATCCTGAGAAAGAGTTTAAAAACAAATAGACATTAAGAAGATCTCAAAGCAGGGCAGGTATAGTAAAAATCTCTTCCTCACTTCATTATACACATCACTGAAAATCAAGCCTCCGTATGTCATACCCAGACTTTTAAACATAATGACAATAGTAACATTTATTTTGTTAACAACAGTTCTCTTAACTCATGGTCCTGACCCTGCTACCAGGGATTTGACTGCCAAAGCTACCTGACCTTAAAAAGCAAGTCAACCATAAAAGAGCCAACCTTAGAACTAGTGGAAAATTTTATGTTATCACAGACTTCAGCTACACATCCCTAACCTGGTTTATTATTAACTTATATCAGCTTTTTAGGTATTTGTGTATAAGGTAAACAAAGAGATCTTCAAGATTCTGAGACTTAAAAAAAATAATGAAATACCTGATAAATTTTGATCCCAGCAAACATAGCCTCTTAAAATAGCTACAGAGTGTCTAAAACACCAGAATATTCAGGGTTTTTTTCTACGAGAAGAGTTAGTAACAAGCATCCAAGTGAGAAGGATGTTACGGAGTAGCTGTTATTCTTTCACTGATTATTTTGTTTACATTTATTTTAAAAACATTTACTTGACTTGCTCAAGACAATTTTATTACTGATTTTAGGTATTTTCCATCAGTGGGAAGGTGAGAAGAGTTTCCATTAAACTATGCAGCAAACATAGTTTGAAACAAATATTGTTACATTCTATACTCCTTTGGTTGTCTCAGGAAAGAATTCATATCACGTTTTGTTTTGTTAATTTGCTTTCGGAAGAAAGGGTTTAAAGTCTGTTTTTGGTCAAGTGGAGAGGGAGTAACCAGACTAAAAGCACATACAATTTGGGAGGCTCACTCCTAATTTCTGAGATACTGTGTTATGTGTTTGAGAAATCAAAACAAAAATCTTCTACAACCTTCATCTACACACTCATCCAGAAACAGAAAAGGGAGCGCAGGAGGGAAAATTAAATGGTTTTTGAAAGCTTCAAAAATAGCACAGTACAGTGTTTCCCTGTCCAAAATCTGTCATCTTCAGACACTTTCATGCTGCAGAAATTCAATTGCAAATAACGGTAAATCTGTATACCTGCACGAAACACCATTTTATTTTACACCTTTTACACAGAAGAGGTTAAGTTACTCCTGACTTTTCCTGGGCTTTTTTCCGACCTGCACACAAAAGGGAAAGCGGGGCATTTTTGAAGTTGCCGCAGGGCAGCGGGGCCAGCGCCGCGCAGCGCGGCCAGGGCCGGGCCTGGCAGCGCCTCGGCTCCGCCAGCGCGGCCTCCCTCAGCGGGGACACGGCGCCCTCAGCGGGGACACGGCGCCCTGAGCCGGGACACCGCGCCCTCTGCGGGCCCTGCCGCCACAGCACAGCGACACAACAGCTCCTTCATCCCTCACGGGGATCCTACTTCCAAGCTGGGAACGAGCTGGCACAAAGGGAGAGAGCTACAGCTCCGGGGGCTCGAGTGTGCCCTCCGCCCGTATAGAAGTAGCGCATGATGCATGGGAACTTCCAGAAAACTCACACTTCAGAAATGTCACTCAGGACAATAACATGCCTGACTGTCCTTCTTCCTCGCTGAACAAAAGAAACAGAAGTCTAAGAAACTGCCCAGGTGTTGAGCAGTCATTTCAAGCTCCGGCCTGAAGGGATCACTCACGGTGTAACAGATCGCACCCCGGACTCGCAAATGTTTGCAAGTCTCCCGCTTGGCTCCATTTTAACATACAACTCGAAAAGCATGGCAACAATAATGTAATATACATGGCAAGAAGCACTATTCCCAAGTGGGGACTCCCACTGGAACATTCTATCCCACACTCAATCAAAAGAGTTTAAAAGTTCTTTTTAATTATTTGAGTACAATTGCATAATATTTGCTGTTTGAGGATCCAAAGTAAAATTTTAAGAGTATATCCTTATGATTTAATTGAAACATAGTCTCAATTCAACACAAATGTTTGTCCCATCAAAATTTACCTTGATTTAAAAGGTGAACTGGACTGGAAGTTACAATCAGTGATTTAAAATAAAAGTGTATTCGCCTCATTTCAAATAAGTGCTGACTTTATGCAGCATTTGCTGGTTTTAAACTTCTCTCTCACATTAGGGCAGCTATTCAGCAACTGTACAGTGCCAGGTACAGTGCAACCGTGACATCTAGTGGCTAGTGGAGAGAGAACATAATACTTCCTTAAAATACAGCATTTCTTCAAACACTAGCACTTCTGAACTTGCAGTTTATACCTCCTCCTTTCTGTGTAGCAATCATTTGTTACAGGAAAAATGAGACCAAATATCTGGCATGCAATTACTTTAAAAGAGAAATCAAGTACTTGTATCAAATCATAGTGGAATAACATTGTATAACACCTACCAAAGAGCAGAGTACCACGCTCATGGCTGACAAGACCCATCATTAAGAAGCCTTTTGTGCACAGATTACAAAAGAAATTTTAAGTGATGCTAGGAGAATCAATGAGCTAACTCTCCACCCTCTCTTATAATGTTAATCTATTTAAATTAATGCAGAAGCAAATAAAAATGTCAGAAACTTCAAATGATTCTACCGTGGATAAGTAGAAAAATTGCCTAGTGGTCACTAATGTGCAATAGACAACTTCTCAAAAGTATCAGGAGCACTGCAGGGATGTCTCTGTCCAATTTGTGTTTGGGAGAGACTAATTATTTCCTTAAGATGTAAAAATAAATTTGGAAGGTTCATGAGAACTGTGAAGACTCCAGACTGAAGTGTGACACTCAGCAAAAAACTACCCCACACATTTATTACTAAAAATTAAACCACATAAATAACAATTTCTTACATAGTTAACATTTTCTTTTTCTTCATGAAATTCTCACTTTACATGAGAATTTATTGAAAAAACAATCCATGAAGTTGGAACAACTAAACATGAGAGTAAGAATTATTGTCTTAAAAATGAAGGTTTCAGTAGATGCCATATAGAACGCATTTAGACAGTGCTAATGGGAAAAAGGGAAGTTGGCCAATTACAAATGGATTATATAGGTATACAATTCCAAGATCTTTTCTTCTAAAATAAATTGCCAAATAATATATGTATCTATCTCAGAACCCCTACAGAAAAAGGACCAATTACGTTCTTATTTAAATTCCTTATCTTGTACCCAAATTGTTTGTTTGCAATATTAACTGCCTTTAAAAGCACCAAAAATCAAATATGTAATTTTTATCCCAGAACATTCTCAGAGACAGAGCTCTGTATTTCTAAAGTCTACCTTCGTAACAACTCCAAAATCAAATCTTAGGAGGAAACAGAACACAAAGCCCAGCAAACTAAAACAAACTGGATATTAAGGTTTATTTCCTAGGGAAATTAGACTTTTTTATGCTCTTTGTCCCATTATCTTCATCACTCTAAACTGCACCACCAACTTTTAAATTAGTTTAGTAATCTCAAATATATTTGAAGGGCACTAGAAATTTCGTGGAAGTCTATGAAAAAGCAAGGAAAATCAGGCAGATTTTCTTGTTAATTCTCTGACTTGGGAACAGGTGGCTGGTAAAAATTGTAGTTACAGCCTAACACTCTTGTCTCTCTCATCAGAGGGCAAGGGCCACAAACCTCTGAGAGGTTAGGCTATCTCAACCCCACTGCTCATAAACACTGACTTGTTTATTCTTTTATTTTTAAATCATATAGTTACATGCTTCACTTAAATGCCCCTTCTTTTTAAAGTATTCTGACTAAATCATCTAATACAGTATGTAATAAAAACTGATTGAAATGCTTTAAATGTAATATAGAACTTTTATATGGTATCTGACCTTTCTATATAGCTATTACAGGAAACTAAGGATAAAGTACAAACAATGTAGCTGAATTCTAAAAGTACTATGACAAATCTGCAACTGAACTAAATTATCATAGCTTCGCTGATTAGCATATCAAATGAGACCAGCTGAAAATCTTCCATCCTTCATACAAGCCCTATACAACAGTTAAGTACATTACAGTGTTAACGGACCCCAACCCAAAATAAATTAAATATTCCACTCGCATCATAATTGATTGAAATAAACCATAGTGACAATTCTTTGTCATTATCATATTAGACAAGCTCTGAACTTCATCTCTTGGATTTAAAATTTTGTCATTGTGAGTTCAGTACAGAATTAACACTTACAAGAAGGTGACAGAATAGTTTGTTTGGTGGGTTCTTTGTTTGTGGGTTTTGTTTAGGGTTTTTTGTGGTTTTGCTTTGGGGTGTGGGAGGGGCAGGGGGTGGTTTTTTTGTTGGTTTTTTTCCCTCTGATTTACAATATATGAAGATTACCTGGACATGTCTAAGCAGCATAATCCAATAGGTTATGCCCCTTATTTTCATATACTAATCAGCTTGAGGAAAACCTTGAGATATTAGCACTTTTTTATTTTATTAGTGAGTCCAAAAGATTCTGATCTTGTTTTTCATTGCAGTAACTAAAAGGAGAGGACACTCAGAAAGCAGAGTCCTGGGAAGCCAGGTTTGCAAAATCTAACAGTGGCATGCAAAAAGAAGTAAGAGCATCCCACTAATGGGATTGATGCAATGGAATGAAGAGCTTGGATAATATATTAGATACTGCAAAACCATCAAAATCATGCTATCAGTTTACACTAAATAACAGACAGACATTAGTATTGATTTCACTTTTCAATGTCCTAAAATACAATTTTATTTGAACAAATGGAAGTAGTGTATGTTTGCTGGTTTAATGAAAAATTTAAAAGTTTTGCTTTTCCCTACATATAATGTGATGGTTTAAAAAATTAAGCAGTTTTAAATATAAAAAGAAAAATAGGAGGGGTAGCATCTTGTCCTAGTGAATCATTAGAAAATTACTAGCAAATCAGCTCATATGTAGGTAACAGAGTTTACATAAACTATGCTTATTGATAATCATTTTGCATGCTATTATAGTCTTTCTTCCATGACTGTACATTTCTGTCCATTAAATGCATCAAATACTAGGAATACTCTTGATGACAGAAACACTGAACCATGCTAATAACTGGCTGTAGAATTTTGATCACTATTTATGTATTCTTAGTATTTACATAGCAAAGCTATGCAAAGCATGATAAATATCTAAAAACTAGTAAAAATACTCAGAAGGATAAAATGTTTGATAACATAGCTTCTTTCTAACAGCTTTTGCTTTAATATGAAAATAAACTCTATAGAATAATCTGCATTAACTTATGCCATAACTTAGGAGTTCCAAATTTAAAAGAATAAAATGTATATATTGAGAAATACTCCCAGAACACCTATACTACCTCTCATAGAAGAAAAATCTGTACTGAAAATCAGTAACAGTTATCTGCTGTATTGCTTGTTTGAGAGCATTTCCAGGCCTTTGTTTAGATTAATTCTGTGGAAATAACAGAATTCAGCCTGATAAAGATCTGTTGTTTGATGACAGTAATTTAACATTTTTCTTACTCCGTCTCACATACAGAATCACGGAATTAGTACTACAGTGATCCAGACACATTGAAAGTTGTCTTCAATTCAGATATTTTACTTGTAATTTTATTAATTAGGTTTTTCAAGACTTATATATCTTCCATTCAATAAACTCATTTGTTACATATTCCCCTACACAAAGTATCAATCTGAGCATTCTTCATGCAAATAAAATAGCATAGAGCAACTAGAGTAGTCTAGATGGTACTAAATGGGGAAAATAAATATTATTTATTTTCAATATGTGAAAATTACTTAAGAAAAGAGATTAAAAAGATATTAAAAGGCTTTCTTTTGAATAGCAGAAATGCATTTGAAATCCATGCTTCAATAGATGAGTTAAAAATCAGCTCAAATACAGGACAGCAGGTGGCACTGACAACATGCCAACCTTAAAACAGCTGCATTGAACTGGTATAAAAGTGATCATATTACATCTGTATTACCTTTAATGTGAGGTTGTAAATGTATAGAACATAAGCTCATCTTTCACAATACTCTATCTGTTGGTTTAAGTGTCCCCCGTGATATTGCTTCTTACTATACTTTACTGATGCAGTTGCAGAGACAGAAGATCTTCACAGGGATGTATCATGACAGGCCAAGAAGCAGCAATAATTGCTGCAGAATAAATTCCATCTGCACACATGAACAAAAACTCTTTCCCTTGAGAACAATTAACACAGGCAAAGTTTGCCCACAGTACTGGTAGAATCCACCTCACTCAAACTATCCAGGCTTGACAGGGCTCTGATTGAGATAACTCCATCTGTGGCGCTGCCTTTAATTAGGGACTGGAACAGAAGATCCCCAGAATTTCTTTCCAACCTGCATTGTTCTGTGACTCAGTACAGTTAGGTCACACAACCCAGTTACCATGCTGAGAAGTTTAGACACTACTCCAAGCTGGTTATAACATACATATGGGCAGTAAAATACACTTAACAGATACACTGCAGCCTGTTGTTAGCAGGGAAAATTATTCCGCTTTTTACAACTCCCAGCTCCAGAGCCAGCTTGTTAGGTGCATTAAACTTGCCAGTGGTTCTGTGCTGTTGAAGACACTTTGTTCTTTGCACGTCATCCAGCCATAGTAAAGAGGAGTAAAGCAAAGTCATTCTTTATACAGGCCACAGAGAAACTAACCTGAAGGTCACAGTCAATATGCAAGCAGAAACTTGATGCTACTATTTAATACCTACATTTTCTAACCCAAGAAGGACCAAGAGCGGGATTGTTGTCATTCCTCCTTGGATCCACTCTTCTAGGGAAACAGTGCCGTCATGATCATAGTCAATTTCTTCCATCATTTCATGAAGAATCTACAATTTAATGGAAAAATCTCATAAGTTCTAATTTATTATTACTATATTCTAATACAGCAACTTGTTAGGACATGTGCAGATCTCCAATTCTCATACAAAAAAAAAAAAAAGAAAATATTACTTGCATGGTATCTGTAGTCAAATGAGTATGGACAGCTAGAAAATAAAGTGTCATACTTGTATTTACATTTTATTAATACCTGAATGTCCCGAACCTACCTGTGTCTTTTGTGCACTCACTGTTAAGAAATCTTCAGAGACAAACCAGTTATGTTATAGAAGTTAATTATTACATTTATTGAACAGTTCATAGATCAGATTTAAACAGCAAAATACCAGTAAAAGTCTAGTTCACAATGCTAATTCATAGTAGAACACAGGCTATTCTTATTTCTACCTTACTCACCCATGGAATGCCACGTGGATATGAAATATCACAAAATTATGATAGCTGTCTCTAGCAACATTAAAAAATTGTGATAACTGGATACTTACTGGACTTAATTCAGTAATATCCCACTCAAGGTATTCTGCAACATGCATCATTTGAGCAATGATATTTTCCAGCTCCTAGAGATGAATGAGAAAGTATGATATTAAGGTTATAAAGAAAAATTCTACTTCAATAAACTAATAATTCAACTATATTGCATTCAGTGACACTATTTCATCAACATCCCTGATGAAATATACTTTTCACTGGAAGCTGTATTCTCAAATGGATCTACTTACTAGCAAAACATTCTGCATGGACTACAAAGCATTCAGGGAGATGAAATACAGCCCCACAATCAAAGTAATTGAAAGTAGTCAGAGATTCTTCCTTCCTAGTTATCTTTCAAGCACCCATGTTTTCATGATCTGATTTCCACCCTGTGGTAAGATCACGTAATGATCTTTAAATTCCATCACTTTAATCTGAGTGATAGAAAAATCACTCAAAAACCAATTAAAATTATTTTTTTACTGTAATTGTATAAATCACAAATTTCTAACAGAAGTAAGGCATGAAGTGGATTCTGTAAACTACTACAGATTTATTTTCTTCCCACTATAGTATTGCAATTTCCCTTGATCATGTACCACTAAGACTTTTCTATACTTATATATACACTTTTGCTTTGTAAACATGCTCAAATGCATATCTAGGACCATTCTAAATTATCATTTGTATCCAGGCATCTAACTCAACTTGGTATTGCCTAAAATTATGGTGCCGTATTTACTTAACACCCATGTATAATTTTGCTTCCCTGTTTCCCTGCAACTTACAGGAATCACCTCCTCTTCCTTACCAATCCACTCTATGCTGTCTTCCTTCCAGTAGCTACAAAAAAAGGTGGAAAAAAAACCCAAAGAAAAGAACAAAACCACCACTGCTAATAAAACACTTGTTTCTGTTAGCTATCAGAAAAAAAATACAGCTTTTAAAATTATTTCCATATCTCCGACTTCTCTTCAAACATTTGGTTGGCCTATGCCACAAAACTCTGCCCTTAATACTGTTCCTTAATTCTTAATAATGGAAGTTGTGACATCTCTCCACATAAATACACTGTGTGACCCTCACACTTATCCTTTTTTAATGAAATCTTTAAAAATGGTGCTTTCATACACATCTCCTAGCAGCATACCAGAATTACTGGAATTATATTAATGTGTCCCCTACAGTTGTATCATTAAAAATAAGAAGACTATAGAACAGAACTCCATGACAGCAGTGTCAGCAACTGAAAATTTATACAGTTGTAGAAGCAGCATTTCTCACTGGAAAACTCAAGGATTAATTTTAAATTGAATGAATTTTTATTGACTGTATTTGATACTGCTTCTAATAATTCAGGATAAATATAAACTTGATTTGAATTAATGTAGTTGTATGGTTTTGCCATGTTGACATACTCTTACAATACATAAAAAACATTACCGAACTATCCAGGTATCCATTCCCATCTGTATCATACAAGCGAAACATAACTGAAAAGAAAACAAAGAGAGAAGGAAACTGTTAGAAAACATAAGAAATACATCTCTTTTTCATTAAAAAACCAAAACCAAACAACTCCAAACCAGAACACAAAACAACTTAAGCCTGAGTTTCAAAGAAAGGACAAGTATTAACATTTTTGTTTAATCATCTTTGTTTAATGATCAGACTAGCTGCAGACCCTCCAAACAAGCTGCATCATGTGAAAGGTTCCCTCAGCAACTACCCTGCCACAGTGCCTCCAAGAATACGTATTAGCCAGAGAGTCCAACTGCACCTCTTCCACACCATCACCCTAACAGCTCATTTGGTGCGTGAACTTGATTTTGCTTCCCTCTAGAGAGGATGTGTCTTCATGGTGAGTACTACCAAAAGGCCCTTCTCTGTGATCTCACCAATCACAGGGTTACGCACAATTGGTCACAAACCTTGCTAAACCTGCCTAAGGTACAATGCTGCTCTCCCTTGGCTGCCGCTATCACTATTCAACAGTGATACTGCTTTAGAAACTATTTTCTGACCAACTAAATAAAACACAGGATTAATGTTTTAAATATCTGATCATCCAACTCAACAACATTCATCACAAACTGCCAGCATGACTTCTTCCAGGACCACACTTGCTTAATCAATTTCAAAATGTACTCCCAACATTCTGGGGAACAATACAGATAAAAAGGTATATTTTGACAATATCCAAGAAAAAAGAAATGCCTTCAAGATTGTATCATAATTTGATCTCATCCAAAAGAAGTGGTACAAGCATCATTAGCAAGATATTTGGAAGCAGCGAAGCCTAAAGCCTTCAAAGAAACACTGCTGGAAGACTAAAAAGGAAATCCAGAAGCCTACAAATACCCCATTCTTTGTCCCCACTTTCAGGGACAGTTTGTCAGAGCTCTGAAATCCAAATACCCATCACACTCTTCAAAAGCACGATTTTTTTTTTACCTCTGCACCTGTTTTTTAGGGATGAAGAAGTCAGCCCATGTAGAGGTGGTTCCAGGACAATATAATGCTTTCATCAACAGCAAAACACAAGTAACCTGCTGTCTAACCAGATGTCTCTAGAAACGTAACACACGATCTATTTAACACTGAGGAATCCTACCACACTCGATCCATAGCAGAGGTTGTTACAGTCCAAAAAATTTCACAAACAAAGCTTACCATAATTTTCAGGAAACAATATAATGAGAAGTGAGAAGAAATTATTAGCAATTAGAGAGTAAAGTTCAGAAAGAATTTGATTATTTTTGGACTTAGAGCAAAACATATTAACTGTTATACGTCTTGGCTTGTTTCACTTATACCCTCCATCTTGGGAATGAGTTGATCATGTAACTGTGTGGAAAGATGGTAATACCTACACCTCTATACCACTTCAGCAATTTTTGCCACTACCTTGAACTGCTCTTAAGAGAGCTGTAATACAAGATTGATGATATTTACAGCAGCACACTATTTCACGCCACAAAGGCCCATGATTCATTACTTACAGGTTAAGAAAACCTAAAAAAATACCCTTCTTTCCCTAGAGTTACCACAGCAAAATTGTTTCAGTGTCAAACAAGTTAATGCCAAAAGCCACCAGAGATTGGTGCTGCCCCTGCTGGTACACCTTCCACCAAAGCTTCTCAGAGCTTGACAGCTAATATTGTCTGGCAAAGGTATCATTAGGCATTCACAGTTTCCACAGGGATGAATCACTGAATCACTCAACCATAAAGATAAAATCATTTGGCTCTCCTTCCTCCTCCTCTGTGATTCTCAGACAGTAGTTGAGAGAATGTTTTACAGCAAGTTTTAGCATCTCCATGCCCTTTACCCACTCCAGAGAAGTAGTGCTTTTTTTTCCTTTAACATGAATTACTAGTTCTAATCAGTCGTTCAAAACCAGACATTAGTGTAATTATAATGTTTCACTTTGTAGAAACAAAGTCTTTCCAATTGCATAGGTATAGGGTAGCAAAAAGGCTATATCTGTGCTCTTGGCTAGATACTGAAAACTATGCTAGTGGTGTGGCATGCAATCTCTTTTCTATTCATACACTGCTAAATATTCATGCTCTTGATTTACACACTCTAGGAGAAAAAAAAAAAAAAAACAAAACCAAAACCAACAACAAAATGATAAAAACAACCAAACAGAAGTTCTGATGCAAACTACGGAGCCCAAGTCAATTTTTTCTATTTGTTTTTTCATCTCCTTACCTGATTAGACTGACTGTGCACTCAATTTCTATTTCTAGATGGCAATTTCGTCTTAAAACCTAAGATATGTTCCCTCAATGTATCTCTGTGAGGAATGCTTGGGATTTTCTTTATATTCAGGTCATACATAGATTATGAATAACAGATATGCTGAGCATGCCAAACAGGTGAGGTTCACATTATGCAAGACCTCTTTACACTCTAATATGTTAGAAAATCCATTTATACGGAATATTTATAAATCTCTGAAAATATGTAGATCATACAGATACAAAGATGAAACTGTTAGTGTAGTTTATCCTCCAGCCTACATCAAATTTCAACTGAAAGCACTACTTTCATGTTCTGCATGTCCTGAATTAAATCTTCAAACACTCAGCTATGACTCATTTTTTTCCAGCTTTGTCATCTGAAAAAAAAATTTATATCACTACTTGAAATTGGTATTGATATTAATAACTGGCAACCCCAGAATAAACCATTTTTCTTTTTCCCTTCATTGCTATACACCTATAATTTACATCAGAACTACTGCTTTCAAATTCAGAAAAAGAGTTAAATTATACCAAGAACTTATAATGAGAATTAACTGAAATCAACAGAGAAGTCTGCATACAATGGTGCAGTATAATCTGAAATTTAGATACCAATAAGTGAAAATATGTGGAATATTTCAACTCTGTATGACAAAGAAGAATATAAACCCATTAAACTACCATGCCCAGAATTATATGTAGTAAATGCAATTGACCTTGAATACATAAAATATTTAAGTACCACAAACATATTAGGTCATGCTCTCTTGCTCCTAAATCACATAGAACAGTCTTTTCCCATGCAGCCCCTATTGTAGGAAGTTCATGGTAAATTCCTGTACTGTAATTATCCTTGCTCCTCTGTCTCTCCTCCTTTCCACTGTACCAGCTCCTGACTCCAGGGAAGGCAAGCGATCTCTATTTCATGCCGTGGTTTGTGCATCGAGCTCCTCAGAGCTCTGGCAAGGCTTGCATAACTTGCTACCATGCAGCAGATATTACACTGTAAGTTAAATTCAGTCCTTGGATCTCAGTTTTTCTGTGTCTGTGATCTGAATGTGCATTCACACTTACATTCTCATATTTTAATCATATGATACCAAAACAATATTACCAAATTTGGGGGATTTGCTGTGACCTTGCAGTACAAAGTTGCTTCTGTAAGCTAGCTACAGGTTAACAAAACATCAAGATACTTTAGCAACATGTAACCTTGTAATGCATTTCTTATTTTGACAGAAGCAGATTACTGTTTGCACATCCTAACATACTGAACACTTACTTTGCACGAGAGCCTGATCCCACAGATCTTTTATAAACAGACCAGTTATGTATAGTGAAATATACTTCTCCTCAATAAGGAATATATGATTGGTCTGACAGTTTAGCCACACAAGAAACTGACTTCTATAATTCCACAATAAGGAAACAAGGTTTTTTCTTTTTTCCTCCAATTTATAGATCAAACTCACAGGCTGGTTTTTTTTTTTGTTTGTTTGTTTGTGTTTGGGTTTTTTTTTTTAATAGGTGTTGCATTTTAAAGACCCAGACCCCTAATTAAAAAGTAAAAACCAAACAAACAAAACCAAACAAGAATTTCTAACTTCCCGTGTCAAACACTCCTTCCCAACAGTGATGCAGACTTGGATCATTCTTGGCTTTTCAGTATTCAATAATATTATGGAGCCCACAGCCTATATTAGCAACTGTTCTTTGCTTGAATTAGGATGTTAAATACAGGTTATTCACCCCATCTATAGATCTCTAAGTATACTTAGTATAGTTTGTTTTTCTCAGATCTTATACCAAACAAGACATGACAGTGTAGAGAGCATTACTGTAACTACAAAATGTACAATCCTTACTCCCCATTTTAGCAAATACTAGATAGAACAAATTTCATTTAAAATCTCACCACTAGTAAGAATAAAAAATCATTTCTGCAATAAGGGTCACCTAGAACCATATTTTTATAATCCATCTGCTAAAAACAGGTTCTTAAATTCAGAAACAAAATATTTTTTGTTGACTTAGGGAAATAAATATTTAAAATTAAAAAAGAACATACATTCTAGCTTGTCTTCAGGTCTTCCTCTTTCTAGCAGTGACAAATAGCAAACAATATCTTTCAGCTGGATCATGTCTGGTAAATGTGAGTTGGCAGGAGTAGGAGGTCTGGATGTAGAGGTACCCTTGTTAAGTCTCAGACCTGGAAACAACCCATAGCTTTTGTTAGTCTGAACATACAATACAAGCAGAAAATGAAAACATAACTTTTGCATGCATTCATCTTTGTTTTATCTGAATCTCAGATTACATCTTAATTTAAATATAAAGCTTTAAACAATTCATGTTCATAGTTTATCCAGCAAAGGTAGAACCAAAATAAGCTATCCAAAACACTACCCCCCCCCCCCCCCCCCCCCCTGGGAATGGCATAAACATTTTTTTAAATTTGTGCTGATCTGATTTCATTTGACTACAAAACAATTTGATGAATATTTTTGTTCTACCATACTAGATGCTAACTATTAAAAACAACCCCAGCCCAAGTCTGCATCCACTTTCTTGTGCTTGTAGAAGCTTCATCTAACTTATAGATTGACAACAACTACACTAATTGAAGATGTTTTAGTGTCAATGAAAACTCTACTAATACCCAAGTGTATTGTTATCCTGAAAAAAACAGCCAGATGTGTGCCAGTGCAGCACATAATTCAAACACAAAAGTCTCAGTGACAGACTACTGAGAAAATATATTTAGAATTTCAATAATAATCACAATAATTGCTCAGACATTGTGATTAATAGCACCACTTGGAATTAAAGTTTCAAAATTGCCAAACTTTTTTTCAGAACAACCTTAGTATGACCAGTCCTGATGATATTACTGGAATCTGCGGGACCAAAATGGGGAATAATGGGAAGGACAGCCGAACACAGGAAAAGGAGTAAGAAAACTTTCTTTATGACTTTGTTACACTTCTCACTCACTGAGGGTTGTCCCCTCTCTCCCTAAATTTTAAACTTGATTGCAATCCAGATACATCTTCAAAAGCCTACGTTTTAAAAGGTATGCCTGCATGTTATGAGATACACATGTTAAAACAATAAAATAAGGTGAAAAAGAGCAAACTGGCGTGCAAAAATGTATTTTGGAATTAATTTTATTTTCATGACATTTCAGCAAATAATAAATACTAAAAGTAAATATTAAATGAACAAAAATATTTAATAAGTCAATGTTCTATTTAATAAGCTTGCATGTCAGTTAGGTGTCATTAAAATTAAGACACTGTAATATTTTATTCAGTTAAATGCTAGCTTTAATCACACAACTTACACAAACAGTTCATATTCCAGTCTTACAAAAATCATATTCACAGAATAAAAAGGATTATAAAACCTGGGATAACTCTTCTCAAAAATAAAGAGTGCTGAAACCCAAATGAAAAAGAATACTAATTTTAAGGTACCTTGTAACCTATCAGCTGCAAGATACAGGTTAAATTATTACTTCTTAATCAGAGGTGGGAAGGGCTGGCTGCAATGTACTACTGACTTACAGATGACTTCCAGTCCTGCTGCTTACCTGGCATCTGCTTCCATCTCTCTTCAGACACCTTAACTGAAAATACATTTATAAACAGACATGAGTGGACCAAATGAGACTAAGTGTAAAACAAGCACATACCTGATGGACTGATGAACCCTGCTATAATCCTTGTCATTTCTCTATGACTTACCCCTCCATTTTCCAGAAGAATGTCTAATATTTCTGAAGAAATTGCTTTCCAGTACAGTCAGGCTTTTTTTTTTATGCTACCAATAGTGAAAACACCCAAAACCAAGTGTTTCCATAGTTTCCATTTGCACATCAAAATGTACCAATGCACAGTGTTTTCCCCTTAGAAGCTACGAATTATCATGATGTAACATTTATTTGAAACCATTAAATTGAATTACAACATAAAAGCAGTATATTTTCAAGCCCAAACAATTCTTGCACAAGGTGAACTGGACTGCGTCTCTGAATATGTTTTGGATGCAACAATTTATCAAACAGTCCTTCTGGCATTACGCTAAAAACATGGAAGCTTCCTAAACTGATATTACATTATATTATTTCTAAAGTACTTAGTAACAGAAAAATTTAAAAACTCTTGACAAAATTGGAAAAGCTAGTGTAGGAGAAAAATATTTTAGGAGGCAATATCAGAGTAAGAAACTTGACATACAACTGAAACAACAACAGTAATAACAGCACTATCCTCAATAATTATGTTATAATAATTATCATTATTACAATTTTACCACACATAGGAATAAAATATGTCAAAGAGAACTATTGTGAAAGTGAAGAAAGCTGAGTACAGCCTATACAGGGCAAAATTTAGCTGTGTCCTCTGAAATCAAAATCACTTTTAGTGATATACTAATACTTATCCAACATTTAAAATATCAGTAGCTGCTAAGTATGTAGGATTAATAACAACAGAATTACACCTAGACAGTTAAAGGAAACAGCAGCAACTGGCACAGAAATGGTTGAGCACCAGCAGGAGTCTCCTGCATGAAGCCTGAAGATTTTTAAGTGTTTGTACAGGAGAATAGGCAACAAGAACATGTAACCATAGCAATCTGATTAGCATTAACATGACAAAGAATGTCCACTTGGTGTCTCAGCTACATCATTATTGTGAGATGAAAAGATGAAACCATTTAATTTCCATTTCTTTTCACGGTATTTCCTATTATGGTTGAGTTAGTTTCTCTAATTTCACAAATACCAGAACAAAAATCCCGCAACGTGTAGTCAAGAATTTCATATATTTACAGTTATTAGAAGTAAAACAGCAGGGTGAGGGAACCTATAGCTCTTTTAAGTACTGATTTTATTACTTACCTCCAGAAAGGTGCTGTGGTTTGTTTTTAATTAATGGACTACAGTGAGAGATTTTGCTCCTAAATGATGTAAAAAGGTGTTCAATGAAATCATCTGGTAACTCTGCCTCCAGAAAAGTCTTCATGAACAGCTTGAACCCCTCTAAATCAATTGTCTGCAGTGAAAGGGAAGAAAAAAGGAAAAAAAAAATTAATGGTTTGTAAAACAAACAAACACACTAATCTATCACTTATATTCTGCTGACAAAAGCTTTGGACTGTATTTGAATATATTGATTTCTGAAGATATAGACTGGCATACCTATTCTTGAAAGTGATTATTGAATTAAGTATTACTTTGAAAATTCACAGTATTGTATAATACCTCAGAGCACTGTGTAAAATAGCCCAGAGTAAATTCAGAGCACTTACATCACGACCCTGAAATCAAGTTCCATGCTCTCAAATTTCTTGATTTGCATCCAAGGCGCCTAGAGAGCTCCTAGGGATGTACTTAGCATGTCGTTAGCTTTTCCTATAATTAGGCAGACAAAAAGCAGGGGATTTTTGGATGCCTAATTCAGTGAATTGAAGGCCCCCTGTCTTTTCCTACATGGCAACATGCTTTGCTGGTGTTTGTCAAGGAGTTACTAATCACCCTGTCTCAAATAGGTTCGAAGAGTCAAATGAGAGTGCTCAGACATGCAGCATTACTTAGAGGGGAAAAAACAAAGTTGTTGATCCAAAACATTTGTCATATAGCTTCATTTGGTTTTGCTTTTGCCAGGAAGGTAAGAGATAATTAATAAAACTCGAATGATGACTTTTTTTCTGTTCAAACAGCATTGTCTGTTTTAAGTAATAAAATGAGTCACAGATTTTCTCAAGTTGGAAGGAGTACGTAAGGAGCATTGAGTTCAACTCCCTGCTCCTCACAGGACTACCCGAAATTAAACCATATGACTAAGAGCATCATCCAGATGCTCCTTGACCTCTGATGGGCTTGGTGCCATGACCAAAACATGCTCTGGGAAAGCTTCTTCCAACTGACCAACCAGCCTCCCAGTGAAGAGCCTTTTCCTGATGCCTGATCTGAACTTCCCCTGATGCAACTTCTTTCTATTTCTTCACGTCCTGTTGCTGGTCACCAGGGAGATATCAGCACCTCCCCCCCTCAAGGAAGGTGTAGGCTCAATGGGGTCACAGCAGTGCAAAGCATTATGACCCCATTTTATCCTGCTAATAGAGAATGAAGATACAGGTATCCTGAAACATATTGACACAACTGCATATTTATCGCTACGTTTGTGAATGTAAAACAGCTTATCAATTATTAATCTGATGAAACATAGTGTTTACAGAGCAAAGAGAACAGCAACTTGTAATTTTTAAATAAAGAGATAAATCCACATGATACCACAAAACTGACTTTGAGAAGTTTCCCTATTCTTCAGGAATACTCCATTTCTCCATAGAAAAGTCTAGTGCAACTCCTTTAGATCATCACAGTGAACATGGAAGGAGGGAAAAGACTACCAGAGTCAACTTGAAATCATGCTGGAAAAAAGAAAATAAAAACTGAACTTTCAAAGACTTCAGTGAATTTGGAATCTGAGTCACAGTATAAATAATTTTTGCTATTATTTTAATATAACTTTGAGACTTAGCAGAAACTTCTCTTCCACTGACTTCTTTGACTTTTAATTTTTTAATGTATTTATGAGATATTGAAATTTTATGTGCAAACTAAATAAAGTGTTTCCCATTAAGATCAAGACCTAACTACCGAAGGGTAATGTTTTAAATGTATATCATCATCCTTACGAGGGACCAACAACACAAATTGCAAAATCTGACTCCTCTTGTGCAAGTCATAATTATTAGGAATGCAAGATTGGCCAGAGGGTATCTCTGCTGAGCTTCTAATACAGAACACCTCATTAGAGAAAGAAGCGCAGCGGAACCAATACAACTCTCACCTCTTGAGGACAAAAATAGCAGAGACTGAAAAAAAAAAAATGTTCAAAATGCTCAAGATGAGTATAAAATGGAAATAATCACCTTGGACATGGACTCACTATCTTTATCTCATCAGACAGCTTCAGCCACACTCTTTGACCTTGGCAAATCATACACTGTTGCATTCATGCTACAAACTTTACACTTTTTTCTCTAATAAAGCCACTGACATTTAATTCACTGTTTATAAACTATGAATCACAATAACAAAAGGATTTGTATCAGCATCCAAGTAAATCAGTAATTAGTTACACTAATATACACTATATGAATGTATTTTTTTATCTGCAAGCATAACAAATACATTAATCACTAAATCAACTGACTTTAACAACGTGAAATTGCTTTGTTAAATTGTGCATTAATGAAATGTGTCTTAGCTATCTAAATTAATCATATACACAAAAAACCAGCTAAGTGAAAACGGAAACTAAACCAAAATTATAATCCCATTTAAATTAAGGTTTATGTATGGCCATGTAAATATCTTTACATTACAATAATCTTTTCCGTATTTACCTTGTCTGCATATTTTATGTATATATTGCAAAAAATATTCACTGAGTTTAGAGCAACCTTAGATTTTTGAACTGCTGCCTGAGTGGCATTGGTTCTCCAAGCTGCCAGCAGTAACCAAATCCCTAATGCCACTTTTTTTTTTTTTTTTTTTCACTTAATGGATTCGGAATTATACCTGAGTAGAGAAATGGATAAATAAATAAGTTTGAAATTATGTACTTCTTTCTTCCTGAAGACCCTCTTTCTCAAAGATGGTCAAAGTTTTAAATATTTTGTAAAGATGGTCAGACTATCATTTAAACCAATATCCTCCATACAGCATTTGCTCCAAACTGCTAGAAAAGACAAGAGATACTAATGTAACACATCATTTGGCTGCCATGTCCATTTATTACATTTGACATTCTGAATTCCAGCAATAAGGGTGGCTCAGCAAAGGACAAAAGAAAGTGTGTGGCTGTTCTAAAGGTTGTTTTACAGCCAGTAGACAGTGCTTTATCCTCTGTTCTAACGTGCTCTGTGACCTGTATTCACCCAGGGAAGCAGCAATATTCATATAACCAGAGTTCAGATGCTGCATATCCAAAAACTTTCCAATTATAATGAAAATTAGTCAGGAGCTGGCAAATTACTTGAACACACATCAGAAATGTTTAGAATGGCCAAAATACAGGTGCAAAACCACATGCTGTACGTAAGAATGTATAAAACCAATGCTGCCTAAGGGAGATCTCTGTGTAGAGCTCTGTGATTAGGTTCTTGCCTAAAACCTCAAAATCTGGGATTCTAATACTGCATAGCAGAAAAACATTCTAGAAGACCTAACATAATTGGTCTAAATGATCCTATTAGAACCGAGCTCTAAAACGGTATAGTAATATCTGGATATTTGTTTTTGTAAATGTATATACAGTAAATAAGAGAACTAAGCCAGTCTCCAGCAGATCTAGGAGTAGTTTGGTTCATCCATCAAGCCTCCCAATGAAAAAGGGTGATCTTCCAAAAACAGGCTCACTTTTAAATTGCTTTCAGTGCCTTTTCTACCATCTCTCACTGTAATACACATAACTTATTACACGAACATAGAAAAATGGAAGAATTTCTTTTAAGAAATCCTGACAACAGCAGAGAAGAAGACACAGAGGTGCTAGAGCATTCTCACCAAGTAGAGGTTTAAGTGTTGAGTATGATTTATTTAGAACAGAGCACATAAAGATGCAAAACTTTTGCTTAGCTTAATTTAAAACTGCTTTCACAATAGAGAAAACAACACACAGTATCATACTCATTTCTCTATTCTGAAATTGTACACTATTTTTCTTTATCCTCATGGACCTTTACCCTTTTGAAATAGGGAAATGCTGCAGCAAGTAAGTACCCTTCCTTTGATTACCAGCATTTCCCCCCAACTCAGCCACTTTTCAAACGTATTGCACAATGTTTTCGTAAGGAAAAAGACAAAAAAAGAAGGAAAGCTGAGAACAATAACCTTCACTTTAACATGTATCATGCTTGATCTTCCTTTCAAATTTCACTGTCATTATTAGAATTTCTCAGATGAAAAGTTCAGAGAATTTTGGTATGGTCTGAAAGTAATTTATTTATGCTAAAGAATTACCAAAAATTAATTAAACAGTTCAGATCAATAACATCAGAATAATATATCAACCATAATGGTGGATGTGGTTTTCTTAAGCATGCAGGTTAATTGCTTAATTTTCAAGAGTTGCTTGCATTCCAGAAGCTCCAGCTGAATTTAAATGAATCTGAGAAAGAAGGATTTAGCATTTTCCATGATGTTTCATAAGTGAGGGGATGAGAGCATGAGAGGATGTACCATTATCAATTATACAACAATTACCCTGGTACATCAGTTAATTAATTAATTAATTCCACTGCACAAGAGACTATCAAGGCATAGGAAGATTATGATCACAAGTTTAGGGATTTCAGGAAAATTTTCAACACAACAGAGATAAAATAGGACATAGATGAATCAGAAAAAACATGAAAGAACTTTCAAATAATTTGGCCTAAATCTTCTGAGGGAGTCTAAAAGAAGAAAACAATCTGTGCATTTTTAGCTTTGACTCTAATAAAATCCTTGCCTGCAGGTCACAGAAAAATAAAGGGTTTTATACTAATCACATAAAACTGAATTTCTATTTTTATATATCAAACTGATTCAACATGTTTATTAGAGACCCTTATGTTTTACAAAAAGAAACTTCACAAAATAAGACTTCTGTATTACTGGGTAATAAAATTTCATTTGGTAATGAAAAATTTTGGTATAACTCCAGAGAAGTGCATTCAAAACCACCACACAGTTTCAGTGCATTTAAACCATAAGTTCATATAAAATTAATTTTATTATATTTTAGAAGTATTTAGTTCCTACTTATAGATTTTATCAATGTTTACAAACACTTCAATATAAGAAAAAACCTTAAAAATTATATATTCACCTTGGAGAAAAGAAAAGGAGAAGGAATGTAAGACACGGGCATGCATAAATTTAACTTTAATAACCATTTTTAGCAAATAAAATGTGTAAACCATTAAACAATTTTCATCTTTTCTGAATGCAAACATGGAACTAGACTCGCTATGACTCAATGCATAGGGAAATTAAAAA